CTTCTAATTCAGCTATACTAAGCCTATACATATTAGTAATTAAAATACACAAGGAGATAGTGAAAACAATAAAGCTAGGTGATTTAATTGATTTAGTGATTATGTATGAACAGCAATTACATTGATCAGTATTTCATAAACTAATCGGTTAATCAAAAATATGTTTAATCAATTCCCAGGAAAATAATCAACTGAATGAAATTAGTATTTGCAATTATTACTTTTTTTATTATTTCAACAATCCATTAAAATTATGATTAAAACAACAGTCATGAAAATAATCAACTGAAAGAAATTAGTATTTGCAATTATTACTTTTTTATTATTCCAACAATCCATTAAAATTATGATTAAAACAACTGTCATGAAAATAATCAACTAATCAAAATTATGGTTTCTGATTATGCCAACTATGAAAATAATCAAAATATTGCCATTATTTTTTATTGTTGTTAAGCACAAAGCTATATGATAGAGTGGGGTGAGAGTATTATCATTGTAAAAGTGAAGCATTACATTGGCTATTGTGTATAAATAGTGAAACATTGTTTCCTGTTAACACGCTAATACTATATTATCTGAGTAACTTTCTATTTTATTCTTATTAATTCCCTGGTGGTTTTCAAAGTTTGTAAGATAATGTTATAACTATCATAAGTTTTATTTTATAAAATAAATTGAGATTATCCTAATTTTTATGGTGTTTGACTTTAAATTTAGGTTCATTAAAGAATATCAAAAAATACTAGGTTTTTAGGCTAAGTTCTAGTTGCCATATATATATATATATATATATACAAATAGAGTTTTTATTAATCATTTCAGTTGTTTGGTTGCAAAGAATTTAAGTAACTGAATAGTTATAGCTAAAACACTTACAGCCCCAACACTGTTGTAAACACGCATATAAACATGAAAAAGGATACTGAATTGTAGAATAATATGTCTGGAAAAGTGTACACAGTATTTTATCAACAGGTGAATGACAAGAAAAGAAATATTTTATTGATAAATGTTAAACAATGCAGTTGTATTGTGCATATGCTACATTTTCATGTACAAAGTTTAGGATTAAAAAAGTAACTTAATTTTAAATTGTTGTGTCTGAAGTCTGACGACAGGGTTTCCTCTTGATTTTTATATTTTTTTGCCACTTGATAAAATTTTTCTACACAAATTTTGAAGACAATTTTATATGTTAATTCCAACTATATTTCAATAAATTAAAATCAATTTGCCATTTTTGACATTAATTTATTGGTAATTGACTATTATTCACCAAAATATTCACTACATGAGAATTCTGTCTCCCTAAAAACACCCTGGCTGCATCAACAAAAGAAAGTGATAGGCAGAATAATCTAGTGATAAGACAGTGAACTGGAATGTGAAAGAAGATGATAATGATTTATACACCTTCCTGAAGTTCAGGGCAAAATCTGAAGAGACAACTGAGAAAGTAGAATGGAAGATTTTCAATACAATGAAATTAACATGTGATATGAAAACTGACTGAACAAACAGAACACAACATGCAGCCTCCAAGTAAAAATGGTATATATACAGAGATGAAAGTGTCCCTTTCCTAAAAATCCTGAAAATAATCGAAGCCAAGTAAGGGGGGGTCTGGCACCCAAAATCCTGC